CCGGCCCTGCCGGCAGGTGCCACCTGTCGCCTACTTTTCCCCTGACGCAGCAACAGGAGTCAGGTTCAGGGGAGTGAAAGTTCAGACTGGGGGCCTGGATTCCTGGGTCTCAGAATGCAGCGGGCTGGAGACCAGGACTCCGGGGTTGGGTAAAAGGAGGCGAGGGTCTGGACTCCCGGGTCTGAGGGAGGAGGGCGCTGGGAACAGAGACAGAGGTGTGGGGATTTGGCGGTGTGCCCCACAGGCAGGCACGCCCCAAGAAGGCTGGACCCTCAGACTTCTGGGTGCAAAGGAGGAGGGGGCTGTAGCACGGATTTTGGGGGCCGATGGGACCATGACTGGTTCCACTGGCAGGACTGAGGGCCTGGGACTCGGCAGAGCATGCTTAGGGCTGTGTTTTGAGGGGCGTGGGAGGCTCCAGCGCCGCTGGGTTGGATTACATGCGGGAGGGCAGGCTGAGGCCGTGGCTATAAATACCTCCTCGGACTCGGCAGGGGCCCAACGCTCCAGGCAAGAGCCCCGGTACGTTATTCTGCAGAAAATCACCATCACTAGCGCCTCGAGTCTTAACAATCGAGGCGCTGCCAATACCAAAGATAGCTTTATTACTTCTTGGCGCTCACATCCCGAGCCCATCTTCCCACCGTCCCATCCTCTGCCACCCGAAAACTCAAATCCCCAGGAGCCCATGCGGGGTGAGAACTACAACTCCCACAATGCTCTGCACTCAGGCGGGCTCCAGCGAGTAGGGGCCCATTAATTTTTCAAGGTACGCGCGCTCGTTTGCTATTGGCCTTCAAGGAGGCGTGGCCACGGGAGGTCCGTGGCGGTGATTGGCCGGCAGCTCCTGCTGCTCAAGGTCCCAGAGGAGGCGGCGGAGCCTGCGCAGTTCACGGTGCAGGGCGTCGTCCGTCACCGGACCCGCGAGGCGCAGGCGCGAGCTGCCCAGGGGTAGGATGAGTGGGGGGTGCGAGGAAAAGCTTTCGAAGATGTCGCCTAGGAGCCCGAAGAAGACGGAGTTAGATTCCGAAAATGGGAGTGAGGCGGCCGTGTCGGCGCGGGCGGAGGCTGCGTCGCGCCCGAGGAAAGAAAGAAACTTCAACTCCCAGCAACGCCCGGGGCAGGGCCCGTTCACACGCGACGCCTGGGGCGCCCCCCCGAGCATGATGGGAGTTGTAGTTCATCTTAAGCCCCACCGTTGCCTGGGAAACGGGAGACGTGGTTGGGTTCCTAGGTCCGTGAGGGTCTTACGGATTCCTGAAGGTGGAGGAACCCGGGACTCTAACTCTTAGACGGGATGGGTGGATGCTTGCGGAGGGGAGAGGCTGGGGGCGTGGACCCCTACGAAAAAACAGGGAGCAGGAGGGAGGGGGGCGTGTCCGAGGTTGAACTCCTGTATCTTGGGGGAGCGGGGCCCGGCATTTAGGTCCCGGGAGAAGAGAGAGATACGGATCCAGAATCCTGGGTCAAGAGAGGAGGCTGGAGATTTGGACTCTTAGGTCCCGAGGAAAGAAGAAAGACGATGCTCATATCCCCACTGGTCCTCCCTCACCTGTATCCACGGCATCCCGCTCTGCAGGGGGAGGGTCCCAGGCGGGAGGCGGCCCGCGGCCAGGGCCCAGCTGATAGTGGCTGAGCAGGTGGTGGAGCTGAGCGGGGGTCAGTGTGGGGTGGTCAGTCCGCAGGCTGCTCCACGCGGCCTGGTGGGAAGGCCAGGTGAGAGGTCATTGCGGGGGCAGCTGAGAGACCCTAACCAGAAGGACTTCCGCGAGGGGAGCGGAGCTGGTGGGGAGATGGTGGCTCTGTGCAGTGTCCTCCGGGCACTGTGAAGCCTGTTTGTTACTTGTTACCAAGGTGAAGGTAGGGAAGGGCGTGCTCACAGCGATTTTTTTAACATGTGATTTGCTTCGGAATAAATGAGGATATAAAAAGCCGGGTGCAGTGGTTCATGCCTGTCATCCCAGCACTTTGGGAGGCGGAGATGAGAGGATTGCCTGAGCCCAGGGGTTTGAGACCAGCCTGGGCAACTTGGTGGGACATCGTCTCTACAATAAATCAAAAAAATTAGCCAGGCATGGAGGCGCGCACCTGTGGTTCCAGCTACTTGGAAGGCTGAGGCAGAAGGATCCCTGAGCCCTGCAAGTTGAGGCTGCACTCCAGCCTGGGTGACAGAGACCTCTACTCA